TCTGTTCTTAGTTACGCTCCTTATATCAAAGAAGACATTTGGCATTTGTTTTTTAGGGCTTGGCTAGCTTCACTTAGCATAATCTGCTCTAATGCCATCCATTTCCCTCCAAATTCTATGATTTTGTCATTTTTTAAATACTCCATTGTGTATAAATGCCTAGCTATTCCCCTTCTCGGTCTATTCCCTAAAGACCTAAAAAGAGCATGCTACAGGGACACTGCTACATCGATGTTCATAGCAGTACTTGAATTTTCTTGAGACCATTTGAGCGTGAGCAAATGTTTTCTCCCGAGAAGTGTAACAATGGGTTTTTACTTACTTTCCCGCCCTTGCCCCCTCGGACACTTTATCACCTAGGAAAATGGATGGGATGGGAATGAAGAAAAGAGTGTTAGAAGCCGTCTCTTATCCTCCTTCATCTACTCCTCCTCCTAACCACTGTGTGTATGTTACTTCTGGGCAACCCGTTTGTAGACAGAAAGACTGATTTCTGGAGAAAAGCGGGAGACAAGTGACAGTCAAAAGCAGAGTCCTATGGACACGGATTCCGTGCTGTGGTGGCAGCAGCAGAGCGTGGGCCGCTTGCCCCCCAGGAGGATGATCTGCCATGCAGAAGAACATAGGGAGAGGAACCTGCTGGGGAGTGGCGTCCGCCTCCCCTGGGCTGTGACACAGGCTCGGGGCACGAGGGAAGTGCGACTTGCGCCCTTACGAGGGTCCGGAGGGAGGGCTAGAGATGCTCCCTTTCCCGTCTACTCAGCGCGCACGCGCAGCGGGAGGAAAGGACCCAGCCCATCCCGAACGCGGCTGCGCACTGGGTTGCCCGGTTCCCCTGGTCGCTTGCCCTCCCGGAAGCGCCGCGAGTTACTGGTGCCACGTCTATCCTAGCACGTCCTCCCGGGTCCTCGCAGCGATAGCACCGGAGCAGCGGCCCTGCGGACAGGACCCACAGCATCATGGGCCGCGCGGCCCTGCGCTCCGCCTTGCTGCTGCTGTTGCTCCTGCTCCGGGCTGAGCGGCTGCAGGGCTCCGAACTCACCTTCGAGCTGCCGGACAACGCCAAGCAGTGCTTCCACGAGGAGGTGGAGCAGGGCGTAAAGTTTTCCCTGGATTACCAGGTGAGGCCGGCTCCCGGCAGCACGCCCTGCTCCCTCCAGCTTCCATGTCTCAAATGGGCACTGTCGCGCCCTGACTAGAGTGACCGGAATTAGCCAAAGAAGCTGCAGCGGGTGGGAATCACTCGGGACCAGTTGACTTCCTCGTGAATAGGAAGGTTTGGATCAGTCAGAGCCCACCCTAGACCAACTGGGCTGGCATGGAGAGGTCCAGATGCGGGTCCTGCTTCTGTAGGGTTGGCAAACGGCTTTCTCAGGCTCCTTCTACTCTAATGAACGCCAGTACTAATCACCTGGCCAGTCTGCCCCAGGTTACTTTGGACCACCTGGTCCCTGCAGATACGAGAAATGGCAGGGAGAGGAAGTGGGTTCATAGTTGTGTCAGTCCAACGTTTAAAGTTGGGGTCAGAGTAAGCGTTGCACAAGTGAGAAGGAGGGCTTTGGAAAGGTCTCAGCGTGGGCTTTGAGCCATGGCAGTGTTCACCAGGATAGCCGTGTAGCTGTACAGTTTGGCTCATACCATATGGCTCAGAAAAGCCAGCTCCTGCCCTCCTGTCTCTATTAAGAGATCTTGTGGTTCATAGGTGCTGGGATCAACTTGAGTGAGGGTCTGCCTCCAAGGTTTAGTGAGCAGATAGATCTATGGTTGCAGGGATGAGGGGCCACATGCCAGAAGTGAGGTGGCACAGGCAGCAGGAAAGGGGCAAACTATTGACAGGCCCTTCTGTAGTTAGAAGCACTGAGGGAGACTTGTGTGGGACAATTTATATGTGATAGATTTGTCCGTTTTCATATCTATGTGGACAATATCAAATTGTGGATGTCTATCCTAACAAAGCACAGTAACAAGACAGCATAAAAGATAATTGTGTGACTGGAGGGGACTGAGAAGTCATCTAGTCTCTGCCAGGGCAGGAATCCCCTATTAAGGAGTGTCTGGTTTGGGTTTAAACACCCAGCGATAGGATGCTTACTGCTTTACACAAACAAGCTGAACAGCTGCAGTAGCTTTTATCTGGACAAAGAAACATGTTAAGTTTGGAAGCAGATGGAGGCTGTGACCAACCATGGTCACAACCATCAATTACCTGTGTGATTTTGTCCGTTGGTGGATCTTACTTTTCTTGTGTGTAGAAGGAAAGGTGTCTTCCTCCTCCAACACTCAGATTCTATGAATGCTTTAGTCGTTATTTGCTTTCTCCTTGCACTTCAACAGTGATAACATTATTAAAAGTTAGTGGATCCATTCAGCAAGCCAAGAATGGCACATGCTTGGTATGAGTGTGTGTGTGTGTGTGTGTGTGTGTGGTGTGTGTGTTTCTGTGTCTTCCTGGAAGAGCAAAGCAGTGCAATACATACAGCATCTGTTCTTGCCCCAGGATGGCTCAAAGACATCATCACCTTCAGTGGGCCAATATGCAATCTGAGGGTTGCCCTGTAATGGGCTTCTTGGGGCCTGGGCTGTATGTCAGATATTGTGCTAATCACTATATGTACATGCACAACACATACCCATACATATAATACATATATACACAAATGTACATATATACGTGTGTATGTATATATAATAATAATAATAATTATTATATTTATAATTATATAATAATTTTTATATAATAATATTATATAATAATATTTATATAATAATAATTATTATTATATGGAACCTAGGGCCTTGTACATGCTAGGCATGTGCTCTACCACTGAGCTACCCCTGCAATGCTAAGCACTTTAGATGTGCTACCTCATGGTATCTTTACCATGATCTTATGAGATTGGCACTACTATTATCTCTCTTTTACAGATGAAGACATGTCCTTAAATAGTAACTTGCCCAGGTTCAAACAGTTAATGAGTGGCAGTGATCTAAATAAGTCACTTTCTCCATCTTGGGATTGAACAGATAAAGAGTGGCATCCAGTTGCCTTGAGACAATTTCTTGGGCATCCTTCCCTTCATCTTCCTCCTGATTTCTGAAAGCTGAAAGCCCTATCAGCCCCGAGCTATGAAGAGCAGTTATCCAGGGGTGTATTCATTCGTGCTGCAGAATAGTGCAGTGCTTAAGTATTTGGGAGATGGTGGCAACAACTATCAGGTCAAATTCCAGGTATACCTCATTTTTCTGTGTCACCTTAGGCCATTTATTTAACCTGGGACCTTCAGTTTCTTCTGCAAAATGGGAAAAACTAGGCCTGTACTACAGACACAACTTTGAAGTTAGGCAGACCTGGATATCGGCCCTGGCACTTTCAAGCAGAGTAGCCATGACCAATTGACTTAACCTCTCTCAGTTTCAGCAAAATGGGAAGTGCCATAGCACTTGCCTCAGAGGTTGTGATGATTAAATGACAGAAGTGTTGGTAGAGTCTGGTCACTCTGTGATCAGCATTTGGTAAGTGTTGGCTGCCCCCCTGGTAACGGCAGACTTTTTGTGGTTGTTAGGTCATCACTGGAGGCCACTACGACGTTGACTGCTATGTGGAAGACCCCGTGGGGAACATCATCTACAAGGAAACCAAGAAGCAATATGACAGCTTCACGTACCAGGCCGAGGTCAAAGGCGTTTATCAGTTTTGCTTCAGTAACGAGTTTTCTACCTTCTCTCACAAGACTGTCTACTTTGACTTCCAAGTGGGTGATGAACCCCCCATTCTCCCAGACATGGGGAACAAAGTCACAGCTCTCACCCAGGTGAGTGACATCAACAGTGACAGATCCAGGGTTAGTATGTTCCTCCTCTTCTGTCATTATCTTGGCTAATGGGCAGGGTCACCATCTAGCACTAAAAGATCCTGTGTTCTCCATCTGATCTTCCTTTCTGTTCTTTAACCAGATCCCTATAGTATCTGACATTCCTGCCTCTACCTCATTCCCACTCAGACTTTCTTTCATGCAATGCCCTTTTGAAGTACCTGTGTTTTGTGCCTCTGCTTATATGATGGGCCTATATCATAAAGAACAAAGTCCTACTTTTTTAGTGTATTAATGAGGATAACAGCTGCAGATATACTTCAAATGTCAATGCCTTAACACAACAGAAGTTCATTCTCACTCATGATAATCTAGAGAAGGCTAATGGGAGTTCTCCTCCTCGATGTGAGTTAGGAATCCAGGTTCTTTCTTTTTCCTCATCTTTCTGGCTTGCCTGGGGCTTTGGGGCCCTCTGCTTCTAGCCACCAAAATCAGAAAAGATCCACTTCTGCTTGTCCCATTGTTGAACACTGGTCATGGGGCAAATCTGTATGAAAGGAGGGCTGGCAAGTTCAGTCCTGGGAGGGCAGTCACCTCTTAGTAACAACTCCACACTGTGGAAGAGAGATAATGACATTTTTGGAGGATAATCACCTCTGTCCCCTGTGGCTCTCAGGTGTAATTATTATCTGACCCCCACCCTCCTCCATCAGTCTTCCTTCCTGCTATTTAAGCACCTCTTTGACTGTTGTATGCAGGCTGGGGACTTCCTGAGGGCCAGGACTCTGGTATTTACCTTTGTATCCTCAGTTCAAGAGGCTTGGGACCAAAAAAATACTCACCAAATATTTGTCAAATGACTAAATGTCAAGGCCAGGGAAACCTGTAAGACAGGAATAACCACCTATAGTTGCACTTATTCAAGAACCAAAGCCAGGGTGTATTGGATCTCCAAGGAGGCATGTAACCTTCTGGGTTGCCCTTCAGGGTGGCCATGTGCTATGTGGCTTTGGTCATACTCATCAAATCCTATAGGCTGCACATCCTTAAACAATATAGTAACCACTGTCTACATTTGGCTATTTAAATTAATTGAAATTGAATGAAAAATTCACATTCTCATTTGTACTTTAACAACATGTAATAATAAGTAGTCACAAGTGGCTGGTGGCCACACGTAGAAAGTTCCACTGGACAGCACTGGCTTTGACTAGACCACATGAATGCCTTTAGAAGATGTAGCTGAGAGTGTGTATGTGTGTAAGATCTTTTGCAGTTGCTGATCTTGAGAGTTCTGTTGGTCACTGATGAAACAGCCTTCTTTTGGAAGATTTTGTAAGTCTGAGGTGAAAGACTTTTGAGCCAGTGGAAAAACAAATTGGTAGAGAAAAGTCTTTTTTTTTTTTTTTTTTTTTTGAGAGAGAGAGAGAGAGAGAGAGAATTTTAATATGTATTTTTTAGTTTTTGGCGGACACAACATCTTTGTTTGTATGTGGTTCTGAGGATTGAACCTGGGCCGCACGCATGCCAGGTGAGCGCGCTACCGTTTGAGCCACATCCCCAGCCCGAGAAAAGTCTTAATAGGTTAGATCAGTAGAGAAGTTCTTTCTGGAGCCTGAGAATTACAGTCCGATTCTGTTGCATCGAAGAGACTTGGACTTCTCCTACCTCTGAGAACATCCTCTTTGCTCTTACCCAGCCTCAAAAGGAGGCATTTCCTTCCTTCTCTGTAGCTTGATCCCTCTGCCTTGAAGGGGATATGTGTTCAGGGAGAGGGCTCTTACAGTGGTGGACATGCTAGAATAAATGATGCTGTCCCTGTCCCTGAGTTGGGAGGCCTGCGGGGAACGCGGTCCTTTTTTACCAGTTAGCCATGAAGCTCTAGAGCTCTGTGGTCTGAGCTGCGATTGAAGGGTCTCAGGGAAGGCACCCATTAATTCTTCCAAGAGAGTGAGGAGGGCCTCTCAAAAGACCTGTAGATCAAAGGTGAAAATATGGAAGCTGCCTAGGAATGTGTCTGCCACAGGAGAAGGAAGGGGCTCCCACATGGAGGGTAGAATAGATGGAATTCTACAATGTGAATTTTACTCTTCTTACCAGGCTGTTTTTATTTTGATTGTCACGGATCCCCTTTAGCCAGCATCTGCTATCTCACATTCCCCCAGAAGCAGGCTGGAGGAATTGCCTCACTGGAATTTTTGAATGAGCTAAAGAGATGTCTCTTAGACTAGCACTAATGGAAAATCCCAGCAGATGGGGAGGTGGCATGTTTGTGCTTCCAAGTATCTGCGATTCTTGATGATGTACTTGAGGTCTTTTGGGGTGCTTATGCCAGGTCCTAAAGATGTGATATGGTTTGGATATGGTTTGCATCCATAAGTTCATCTGTTGGAGATTTGGCACTCAGTGTAATAGTATTGAGAGGTAGTGGACCAGTATGCTGAATTCCCAGTCAGGACCCTGGTCCAAAGAACTCCCAGTTAAGAGGGTCCAATATACACAGTGAGTTTCTGAGTGAATTTATGATAGAAACAAACTTGGAGGATGGATTTCTACCCTGGAGAACCAAATAATCCTTTCTTAGTCTTTAAAAGCAAAAACTGTGGATTTCTATAAATAAGACGTGAGTCTTTGTATGTGTGTATGCATGTATATGTTATATGTCCATGAATAGACACGTTCAAGCTATGACCATGTGTGTCTATCTATCCCTCCCACAAGTTTCAAGAATGATCTCCTTTGTTACTAAGTCCTCTCATATCAGGACCTTAAATTTCCCCTCTTACTCAATGTAGTGACCTTAATGAGGCCTTCATCTTCTCTTACCAGCAGGATTGTAGCCACCTGAGTGTTTTCCAGACTGGTTCCCATACATATATTTCTACATCATGACTACCAGAGGTAGATCTTCTGAACGTGGGATTCTCATCCTGCCATTCTTCTGCCCATAGAGCTACAGATAAAGTCTTGACCTTTGAAGCCCTTTGTTGTGAGTTTCTGCTTGCCACAACTTCTTTCCCATATGTCCTCACCACTATATCAGACCCTGATTCCAGGCCAGTTCCTGAAAATACTGGGCCTGTTCCTTGAGCTGGCACCCATACCTCTGCCCAGTTCCTTCTGATGCATAGGGACCATATCACCTTTCTGTCCACATGATATTTCTCCACTTCTTATCCATGGATCAGGATGAGTACATGCAAAAGAAACCCTGAGCTTTGGGAGGTGGACCAGATACCACTTGGATAGAAGGTGCTGCCCTGTAGATGCAAGGGCTAAAGGGGGGCTTTTGTTCTAACATTTGTGTTCTAGTTTAGCTTCTAGAATGGCCCATAGTAAAGAATATCCAATGAAGCAAGAAAAGGGTAACACCATTTTTTTTGGCCATAGTTTCCCATTTGCCTCTTGGAAATGTTTGGTATGATAGAGAAACAAGGGTTCTTAGAGAGGTCACATGGTGACTCAGTGTCCTCTAGCTTCTTACGTTCTATTTCAGAAATAGTTTGCTTTTGGAGTTTAGGAGCTAAAACAAGTATCTTGTGGATGCTTAATGAATAGAACTCACTATTGGGATAGAAAATTCTAGGTTTTGTATTTGCTGGTGTTTTTGAGGTCGCCTCTGAGTAAGAAGTCATGTTCTTCTGCAAGCATAATCTATTGGTTGTCTGCTACTGAGTAACTAATTAACATAGAGTGACTGAAAACCCTACCCATTTATTACCTGTTAGCTTTGGATGCTGGAAATCTGGGCAAGCTCAGCTGGTTCTCTGCTCAAGGTCTGTAAAATGAAAGTGGAGGCGTTGGTCAGGTTAGGCTCTTATTCTGGGGAAGTGTCTGCTTTCACACTCTTTCAGGTTGTGGGCAGGATTCAGTTCTGTGCAGATCCCTGATTTGTTGCCAACTATTGTGCTCTTAGCCATTTGAGTCTGTCTTCTGGTCCTTTTGGTGATTGCCACTTTCTGCAACCAGCTGGAGAAAGCCTTTACTTTAAGGGCTGTGTGAGTAGATCAGGCCACTGGATAATCTCCCATCTTAAGGACAACTGTGCCATATAACAGCATAGTTACAGGAGTGATACCTCATCCACCTGCAGTTTCCTGGGAACAGAACTAGGAATATTGGGAGTACTAGGTGGGGACATGTTCAGAGTTCTGCCTACCACACAGAATATTTTAGCAGGGAAATTGTGAAGTAGTGTAGGAACGTATGTGTATATATGTGCATGTTTATATTTTTGCATGTTTTCATGAGAATTATTTCTCCTTATGTGTTTTGTGTTTATAATAAAACTGTAGGCGTCAATTGCATACTAAAATGAGTGGTAGAGTCAGAGACCAACATGGTTGTTCTAGTTCACACTGCTGTTTATTAGCCGGGTGACCTTGGAGACAATTCATGTAGCCTCTTTGAGCTTCGATTTCCTCATCAGTACATTGGGTGAGCAGGCAATCAGCCCTCCCTAACATTGGGGGTGATCATCATGTCTTTCAAGGCACTGGGAGATTCAAAAAAAGAACAGAGGGTAATGCTTGCAGGCACAGCCCCAGGAGTCAGTGGAGTGAGGTCAGTACCAACAGTGTGACTGGTTACCCTCTCTGAGCCTCAGGCTTATTCCTAGGAGTAAGTGAAACCATGTAAAACCCTTAGCACAGACACCTAGTTAGCATTCAGTGGATATTGACGGCCTTGGCTGTTTGCTGGATTCCACTCAGCCCGTCTCAGGGTTATCAATGTGACAGTTTTTGTCTTCCTTCCCAGATGGAGTCTGCCTGTGTGACCATTCATGAGGCTCTGAAGACAGTGATCGACTCACAGACGCATTACCGGCTCCGAGAGGCCCAGGACCGAGCCCGAGCAGAGGACCTGAATAGCCGAGTTTCTTACTGGTCTGTTGGGGAGACTATCGCCCTGTTTGTGGTCAGCTTCAGTCAGGTGCTGCTGCTGAAAAGCTTCTTCACAGAAAAACGACCTGTCAACAGGGCAATCCGCTCATAGCGGAGGCATCCTGCCCCAGGGACTCTCACCTTCCAGGGTGGAGCAGCTCTGTGGGTCATGGGCTCCTGCTGGGCTGGGTCGAGGCGAAACTGCAGGGAGAGCACAGGTGGCTTGCTGGCATGGCAGCACCTGGCTTCCATGTTCTCGCCTGATCATTGCACCCCAGCAGCCAAAGCTCACAGCCCAGGAATCTGAAGGCATCCTGTTTCATTATATGTGTAACTTTGACCAAAACTAGTGTTTACAGTCAGGCTAGGGGTTGGCCACTGTGGGAGGGCAGGCAGGCAGCAATGCAGCTGCCTGGCCAGGGGAGAAACCCCAAGTGCCTGGGCCTCCAGGGTAGCTTAGGGCTCTGCCTCTTCTCCATGATGTGTGGGCCATTTTTGTGGCCTCTTCTGTGTGGGAAGAAAGGGGCTCTCAGTTCTTTCTAGCCTTTCCTCCGTGGATCTCTCTGTACTTGAGGAAACCAGGCCTACCCCGAGGTAAACAAGAGTCAGCCATGCAGGAAGGACCCAGATGATGATTGGGTGCTCTCTGTTAGCTGTGTATCTCTTAGGAGGCAAAACTGTGGCTAATAAAAACTAGGTGAACACCATGGAGAAGTATGCTTTATTTCTTTGCCATAAAGGAGCTCACAGCTTTATGGGGAGCAGGGGTGTGTTATGAACAGTGTGGTAGAGCAGATGGTGGCCTATAGCTGTGTATAGGTTGCTTTGTACACAGGTGTGTAGAAAGGTCAGGATATCACTCCTCCCAGGTGAAAGGATACAGGGAATAGGAATTCTTGCTGTTCATGTCACTCACCAGGCTGTGCAAAGGGTCTTTGCAAATGCTGTTTCCTCTGTGAAACCCCCAGCCCTGATATCTGCATGATTGGCTCTGTAATTTCCTGCTAATAAGACACCAACTTATCAGTGGAGTTTCCCCTGACCTCAGTATTCAGGACAGCACCATCTTGCCTTCTCCTGCCCTCCTTCCCATTAGGAAGAAGTTAATGCACACTGACCAGACATCTACATAGGAGGTCTGGAGGGAAGATTCAGTGTCATTCTAAAGGAAACCTACCAAGGAATCTGAAACCCTGGGCTGCCTGGCAGGTGTTAATAATACCTTGTGGGAAAGGAAGTTAAGTAAACAGTCCTTTTAAATAAAAGATGAGCCCTGAAAGTTCTATGACTTAGCTTGATTGGAAGATAAATATTGTTGTGTTTCTCTCATGTGTTTGATGGCATTTCTTTGCTGTTTCCTATTTTTATACTGAGGGCTGGATGTGTAAGTGTTATTTATGAATTTAGGGCAGAATGAAAGACACTATAGCAAGTACCTGTGATTCTTACAGGTTCCCTGGCTACCTGCCCTTCAAAAGCCGCTTTTCCTTCCTAACCTGAGGGAACCACCAATCTGAATGTAGCGTTTCTTAGTCACAGAGGAGCTCAAAGAAGTGAGGGGCATCATTCTAATAAAACTCCTTGTCTCTCTTTTATAAGAACAATATTCCCCCTCCCCGAAAAAGTATAGGACCGTGTTGGTGACCGTGTTTTACTTGTATAACCTTATAATCATCCAGAAAAATACAGATTAGGAGGTAGAAGCCCTGTCCTATTTGTTGAGTTAGGAGATAATTTTTTGTAATAAAATTTACTTTTAATATTTACTATTTACATATTTTTGATCAACTATAACAATGAAAATAGTCAAGTATTTTTAACACTTAGAGATTTACATTGCAGCACGTGAAGCAAACCTTAAATATTTTAAGTAGAGAAATTTGATAGGGTACTAAGCAGGAATTTCAAATGTAAAAGGATACAGCTCTGTAGGAGAGGTGAAATGGAAGTATGAGTTTAAGAAGGAAAAGGAAAGATGGAAATTTCTGGCATGTATTTATAGATGATGATGGATATCAAATAATTTTGATCTTTAGAGTCAATCAAAATTATAACTTTTAAAACTTTTTTTATACACTTATTTATTTATTTTTATGTGGTGCTAAGGATCCAACCCAGGGCCGCTGAGCCACAACCCCAGCCCAGAAATTGTGATATGACTCTTTAAAAAGTGCTTAGAATGTGTCAGAAAATATCCCTTAGTTCTTTAAATTCATGGTGAATATACTGGATTGGGTCTGATCCTTTTGAATTTGAACCTACCATGTACTAGTTTGAGTCTGCCTGGGCAACGTACTGAGCTCTGTCACAAGGAGTATTGCCACTGGCAGGGCTTCTACATCGTTGGTGAGCAGAATTAGGATTCCCCCTGCTCCCAATAAAATCCATTTGAATTTGAGGCCTGGGTGCTTCTGACAGTTTGGAGGCATATCTATTAGCTTGTCCAGACAATTGAGAATCTCCCTGGGAAGAGGGAGGATTTCCAAATCCAGAGGTTCAGCATTAAAGAAAAGGGAGAGGATTAAAAAAATCAAAGTCTGATGGAATGCTGTTGCTATATACCATAGATGTTAAGAAGGTAAAATGTACGCAAAGAAATTCCCTCAAAGTAATTATGAATCTAGATAGCAGACTGGGCCTGGCTCCAAAGACCAAGTTAGTATGTGATGCTGACTCCAGACACCAAAAACAGCTGATTCTGGCTGCCTTGTGATGAGCTGTCTGGCAGCCAAATGACTGTGTATGACAAGAAAGAGCTTTAATTCTTAAGCCTAGGCAACTCTGCTGTCAGACACCCTCCACAGGATAACCCTGAGAGGGGAGGATTGTAATGCATTCCACTGTCATGTATTTAAAAAATAAAATCAATTAAATATTTTTAAAAAGACAATTTTCCAAAAAAGGGTAAAATCATAAGCCACAGGTATTAGATGAATACATGCTAAAGATTTTATTTTACCCATCAATCATTGAGGGAACCAGATGTCATAATAGTTCAAAAGAGAATTCAGTGAACAGACACTTTTATATACTTTTAAAGTTGTCAAATAGCTCAAAGACATTGGACCAGGCTAGAATCAGTAACCCAGAAAGATGTGCTATGTGCAGAAAGCACACAGTTGCAAAAATAGCTCAAAGACAAAGCTTAGCATCAGATGGCCTGGAGGGGTGTCCAGAAGTACAGAGGCTTTTTTATTAAAACACTTTTTTCCCTACAAATTTAAAAGAGGCTGTTGAACTACTGCAACACCTGGGGAATGGCATTGATTTCCAATTTAATTAACAAGACCAGCTGTTCCATTTAGTTTCTGGCTCCATAAAGGCTCATCTTTGGCCTCTTTAGGCCTCTGGTGGGAACAACTTTCAGTTATTTCTAGTCTTGGGCTTCACCTTAATCCACCTTTCATGTTCCATGGTTCCAGATGTGGAGCACCTATAAAAACTTAATATATAGTACATAGTGTTACAATATAATAGTATAATAAAAATTATGATATTAATATAATTATGTATACTGTTATTACATAAGCTCTAGGTTATGATTTTCAATCTATTTTGGGGGGGTTACTTTTGTTGAAATGTTTGCAGAATTGAAAACTTGGGCCATAATGAGTTGGTTAATCTTTCATTTGTTGCTTTTACCCTCACCCAATCTTTGAATAGTTCCTCCATTCAACTCTCCTCAATTTAAAAACAGAAAGGAAGGAGGGAAGAAGGAAAGAAGAATCAGTTGTTGCAAATTTTAGGTGCTATGGATTGAATGTTTATGTCCCTCCCTTCCCCCATTCCACATGTTGAAATCCTACCTCCCAAGGCAAAGGTGTCAGAGGATGGGACCTGTGGGAGGTGATTAAGTCATAAGGGTGGAGCCATCCTGAATGGAGTCAGTGCCCTCATAGAAAAGCCTGAGAGAGAACTTCACCCTTCTTGCCCTGTAGTGAGTCCACAACAGGAAGTTGTCTATGAGCCAGGAAGTGGGATCCAAGCAAACACCAAAAGCCTGGGTGCCTTATATGTAATCTTGTGCTTTCAGCTTCTAGAACTGTGAGAAATACATTTCTGTTGTTTATGAGTCGCCTAGTCCATTGTGATCTATCATGGCAGCCCAAACAGATGAAAACACTAAGAAACAATGATGATTAGGACAAAATGGCAAAGACACATTGAACCTACCTGGGGAGGGCAACTCGGAAAAGGCTGGACACACTCATCATCCCAGTGGATCCTCAGCACAGTGCTGTGTGAGCTCGGTTATGAAAACAAACAGCTGGCCAGCTGCCCCAGAGCCTCTCCTCCTCGAAGTCCTCCTTCCCCTAACACCGAAGGGTTGTGGGTTAGAAACTAGCACTACTTTCATTTTCCAAAAGTTTTTCTCTAAGGGTCTTAAGTGAACTTTGAATAAAGCTGTTTTTTTTTTTTTTTTTTGGTGTGTGTATGTGTGTGTGTGTGTGTGTGTGTGTGTGTGTGTGTGTGTGATTTTGTGATTTTCTGCCACGGGGGGCTTCCTTCTTCCTCTTTCCTTAAACTCTCTGGACCAGACCCCAGTGGATACCATAAAAGAATACAGCAATTGGAACCCTGTACGTTATTTGAAGCAGAATTGTGGGAACATGTAGATGACAGTTTTCAAGCAACATGACAAATACACTCTAACAGGACTTTAATTATCTTTTGCTATAACAAGAGGTGATAAGAAAGAACCAAGTGGAAATGTGACATATGAAAAATATACAAGCAGAGGCAAAGAAAAGAAAGGCAGTGTGGAATGTAGCGGGTCTCTTTGAAGAACCTCCCCAGAAGGCAGCAGGAAAGAAAGGAGAAAAAGTAAAGCTAAGGGATGGAGAGAAGACGTGTAAAGGGCTGCATAATATTTCCTAGAAATGGAAGGGGGCAGATATTTGAAGAAATGAAAATAGATTTCTCAAAATAAAAAAAAAAAGGGAAAGATCTCAGGTAAAAAGGGCTCACAGGGTGAGAAAAGGATTGAGAATCAACAAGGTAAAATCCCAGATGGACACATTATAAAGACATGGAGGAACAGAAAGGCAAAGAGAAAATCCCACATGACTCCAGAAAGAAAGAACCTGTCCCTTGCAAATCACACTGGATGAGACTTCCCATCAGCAAGATGGCAGGCTGGAAGAAAATGGGTTTATTAAATTAGAAAACGCAAAAGCAAAATAACCCCGAATTTAGAAATTTGTCTAGTCAAATTATAACTTTGAAAGTCTCAGAATCTAAAGACTCTCAGGGTGACAGCGTGGGAGAAGAGAAATAAAGCTAGGAGGCTGGTGAAAACACGGGCACCAATAGTCAGTAAGCATCTTTATAATATTTACTATCTAAAAAACTAGGTCCAGACTAAAGGAAAAAAGAAGACACAACACACAAAAATTAAGAACCATAATTCTGAGCAAGGTCCACAGAGTGTGCTGATGGAGTGGGGTGACCAAGGTTCTTGTCTCATTACAGGACGGGTATGGATCTTTGTGAGTTGGAGAAATCAATCAGGGTAACCAAATACGAATGTGGGCTATGAGATCAATAAATTTTAAAATAAAAATTTAAAAGAAATTAAATTTAAAATTTAAAAAGAATAAAATTTAAAAAGAAATTCAAAATCAGTGAAAAAAAATCTATCCAATGAAAAACTGAAAAGAAACAGTAAAGACCAGCAGAGCAAATTAATATAGAAAATAAAATGGGGGCTG